AGGCATTTCCTTCTGGGGAAGGAAGATGGGAAGGGATCCTCAACTCTAAGTAATCCCAGAGCAAAACGTTTTCCCTCTTGCAGACAATGGATCATTTCAGTGAGCTGACGCTGGCTCCCAGCAAGCCAGATAAGTGCTTTCTGCCAGGCACTTGCTCAAATCAGTGCCAGCCCCAGATATGCTGATTGCCTTTCTCCATCCCGTTGAGTGGGAGAGAAGCCTTTGTGCGCAACCCTGGTAATCACGGTGGTGTTTCTGGGCGAAGGGAGGTTGCTGCTGGTCCCCTTGGTTACATGGTCACCGATTCTGGCCACTGTATCTCCAGCCCGTTTTACTTTCCAGAGAGGGGATGTCACTTTGGAAAAGGAATTTTTCCTGCCTGGCTCTGCTTTTGAGGCTCTGAACAGCTCTTTCCAAGACCTCTTTCCTGAACCCTTGGTCTAAACCTTGCACGAGGTTGGCTATATGTGCTCATTAAACCGGGAATTAAATAATGTAGGAATGCTGCTGCTTTGATGTCTTCTCTATTATGGAGTTTTACTTAGAAGTTGAGGCTTTTTAAGTGATTGTGTGGGCTTTAGCTAAGCAATGAAAGAAGCCTTGTAAACAATGAGCCTTTGTAACGAAGGCAGAGTAAGCGTAATTATAACCTCTCCTATGAAAAATTGTCCAATTTTTGTGTGCATCAAAACTAACTGGACGGTGTTGTGCCTTTCCAGGTAACGAGGTGGTCTTTAAGACCAGCTCCAGGGAGCGAACGCAAAATGAGCAGCAGAGGACAGTGCAGAGGACGCAGAGGGCACTCAGACTGAGCCGAGAGGATTCGAAGATGTCCGCGTGCAGCGAATTTGTGGAACACGTTTGGAAGCCCGGCTCCTGCAAGAACTGCTTCAACCCAAAGAGTTCCCATCGGCTTCAAACGCCCCCTGACGCGGGTGCTTGCGGCGTGCCACCGAATGGCGTCGGGACCAAGCCTGAGAGCCCAGTGTTGGAAGACGAAGGTGTAAATACCTCCTCTTTCTCGAAGCCAACAATTGCTGTGAAGCCGACTATGATAAACTCGGATGGTTCTGACACGTGGGCGGATGTGAACATGAATTCAGATCTGTCGCAGGTAATGATTAATCAGGGGAGTGGCGAGTCAATGCACGACTTCCTGTTACTCACCTCTAGTGGGGAGCACGAGGAATATCTGCTAAAACTGTTTCCTTCCCATTGCTTTTCCTTCCAATCTTGTCTCAGGTTTTTAAGATGCATGGTGGCTTCCTACAGTATTTTTGGCTAAAGCCAAATGAGATGGTGCTCCTGAGGCACGTGCAAAGGAGCACCCTTGTCCCCGAAGAGTTGGAGCTGCTTGTAACAGGGCTCACCGCATGTGTTATCAGCCTCCCGTTGCTCTGCCTCACTTCTCCTTTCGGGACGAAGGGCACAGGAGGGCAGGCTGCCACCGGCGGGGCAGTTTGATTTGCTTATGCGGATTTGGCCCCAGGCTGAGTTTTGCGCTGTGGGAGCGGGTTCGGGGCTCGCTGTCGCAGGGTGTGGACTGCAGCTGGGTATCACCCTGCGGGCGCATGTTAATGCCCTGCCTCTCCTGCTCCTCCTCTCCCCTGGCCAGCGCAAGAGTGGGAAGGCTCCCTGCTGTCCCAGGATCTCTTTCATGCCTTTCCACAGCTGACTCCCAGCCCGAGCGGCAGAGGCACAGTCTCCTCGAAAGCACAGGCTTCCTAGCACATGAATAGCTCCCAACACTTAGCAGATGTTGGGGGGGGGGGAAGAGAGGCTGCTGTGACCCTGCGATGGGGTGGCAGGCATTACGCTTCCCATTTACTCTCCCAGAGCAGAGATATGGCTGGCGGTCTTCAGGCAGAGGGACAGTTTAGCGAATTCCCTCGCTTCTTGGAAGAAATGACCTGCGATCACACAAAGCAGATTTCCCTCCGATAAAAAGAGCTCAGATAGGTTTCTCTGCCTGCTCCCCAGTCCCCCCTGCTGAGTGTAGCCGGGCTCATCCTGTGACAGTCTGTGCCTGCGCTCTGGAGTGTGTGGCTCTTAAGCAGCAGTGTGAAATGAAACAAAAATAGCAGGGGGAAGCACAAATATTCCTTCTCCTCCTGAATTTTTAATTGCACAGTGACTCACTGACAGGATGACAAGTTGGAAATGTTCCTGGCTGCAAACCAGAAAGAGGAAGGAGAATTAATGCCTTATTTGGTGCATCACCATTGTCAGTAATGCAAGGATTGCAAATGGTCCAGGAAGGGGGACAAGTGCAGTTTAGGTAGAAAATGTTTGCAGTAGCTACCAGCTGGGTGAGCACAGAGCAAAGTGGACTGTGAGCGCCAGAGGACTTTTGTGCAGACCTGTGTATTTTCTTTGCTCCTCTTTTGTTTTGTACATGCACAATCCTGATAGTGCATTTGTCTCATTTGGCGCATGCAGGTCAGCTGGGTTTCTGGCAAACACCTCCTTCTGAAACCGGGAGAGGCACAGAGGATCTGCCTCGACAGTTTTGGCAGTGGTGGTATGAGGAAGTCCTTCATGCACAACCCACCGAATGACTGCTCATCTTGCTGCCCTCCTAGCTACTCCGTGGTGGGTCTGCACAGCCTGGAAAGCCGGGTGGAGAGAAACGTCTCCATCCACAGCCTGGTGTTTGTCGGAGAGGTGAGCGGGCAGGAGGACAGAGCCAAAGACAAGTTCACCCTGCCGCATCGGGGCTTCTGCCCTAAACCATCTGCTTTGGGGGAAAGAAGCGCTACGGACTCCAGCAGGAGCCCTGCTTTCCAGGCAAGAGACGGAGTGGCGCGCTCCTCGGAGGGCAGTTATAGTCAGTCCTCTCCTGGCTTTGAAAGTGAAGGGGGCGAGTACTGTTCAATTGCCGACTGTCGCAGAGAGCACCCCATCTCCCAGGAGCCACCCTGCGTGGCGGGCAAGGGCTCCTGGGGTGAGAAGGAGAGCCCAGCTTCCTGGGGTTGGAGGCACCGGGATGCTCCCGAGATTCCCCGGCCAAGCGGCCGGTCAGTGAAGTTCAGCGAAGAGGAGCGCAGAGCTGTGAACGTGGCCTTCTGCATCCCAAAGGACCAAGGCGACCCTCTGCCCTACGCCTTGTGCTCGGAGAGGAAAAAATTGGCCCTCCGCTTGGAGGCTGCCACACTGCCTGACAGCGCTCCCTTTGGTTTACTGCAGGACGATGATGGCTCTCCTCTCCTCAGAGACTTGGATGTCAGTGGAGGCCCCCGACCTGAGGGCTTGAGTGCTCCTCAGCAGGCGTTGGTGGAGCCACAGCACTCCCGTCTCGCTGAGCCAGCCCGCGGTGATCCCATCTACGCTGAGAGCACCAAGAGGAAGAAGGCGCAGCTGAAGAGCATCGATGGACACGCAAAGCCAGACAAGCTGGCCTGCAGCCCTGGCAAGGAGCAAGCTGATGGCACGTGGAGGGACGGTGGCTGGACTTTGAGCACTGAGAAGGAGTACCAAGACTCCACCGCCCAGGTAGCAGCAAAGATAACTATTATGACCGCACACACAGAGGATGACCATAAGACTATATTCCTCAGCAGCCCTGACTCGGCCGTGGGAGTGCAGTGGCCATGCATTAGTCCCACTTCCCACCCCGACTTTGGGACCTCTTCCCCTGCCTTTGAGCCTGCAGAGATCTTTCAAGTGTCCGGAAGTGAAAATGGCCCACGATTTCACCTGGCAGCTCCTGCCAAGACCTCAGTTGCTGAGAGCCCAGCCATTCCCCCAAAGCTGTCCAAAAACAGCCAGGCTGGTAGTGAGGGGAGTCGCGTGCCCCCGATCAGCTCCCCGGTGGCAAGATTTGGTGACGACAACAGCCACGATGGAGCCAGTGCTCACCTGCTGCCGAGGAGCTGTACGGATACAGGTGCCTTCGGAGTGTCCCCCGCTCCGTGTGCTCATGTTAGCGGGGTCCTTGTAGAGGAGTCCAACAGAGGCATGGCAGGCTCACCCTGCGACAGGAGGCAGAAATACTGCACCCCGGCATGGAGCAAGCAGTGCCGGATAGAGGAAGAGGAGGAAGAGGAGGAGCAGGGGCTTGTAACCCCCCCGCGGGCGGGGGGAGCAGAGAACGGAAGAGCTGGTGCCCACCTCGTGGATGACTGCTCGATGCTGGAGAGCCAGACTGCGCTCAGCAAGTCGTCCTCTTTCTCCTTTGATTTCCCTAAAGGCGAGAGCAACAGTGTGGAATTTGCACCGCCACCACCGCCACCAAAAAAGCAGTCCAGGTACAGCTGCCTGAGAGTGTGTGCGTGAGTGTCTGTAAAGCGTTTGCAGTCACAACATTTGTTGCAGGGCTGGATTGACTAGAAGATGCTTTCCGTTCCTCCTTCCTCCCTTTCTGTTTAACGGTGGGTTTCCAGCGGTTTGGGAGGCGACTGCGCGGTTGTAAAACCGCTGTCCTAGCGTGCCAGACCTTTGCGAGTCCCTGTCCAAATGCTGTGTGTGCTGGTGAAAGCTCAGCTGGTGGGCTGTGTGGGCTGCCTTGAGGCGCAATATTCAAGCGAGAATACTGTCTGTGCCTGGGATGGCTGGTGTTTCTGGGTCAGCTTTGCTCTGTGTCATCACAGACCCCTCGATGTTGAATATGACCCAAAGTCCAGGGTTACAAGCCCCTCTCGGAGGTGGCACTGGGCAACTTCCTCTCTTGGCGCTCCTAGCTGTGGCCTCTGAAATCCTTGTTTTCAGTTTGGCTCTGGTGTCTTTTTGACTTTGAGATCAATTCTTGAAGCTGCAGTTTGCCAGGGAGGGAGTCCTGCCTGCGAGCAGGTAATCAGAGCTTGTCTAACACATGCTGGCGACGTGTGGGAGCTGCCTAGCTTCAGGCAGCCTTCCCCTAACTGTAGCTCTCCCGGAATTCAGATTTGGAGATGGAGTGACAGCAGGCTCTACAAAATGAATGTGAATGAGGGAGAGCTAGCTATCTGGGAAGGAAAGAGCTCTGCTAAGCAATTAATGAACCTGGCTTCCAATACTTTGTTTACATTTGGTATCTGCAGTTGCATGCACACCAAAAACAAAAAAAAAAGAAAGAAAGAAAGAAAGAAAAGAAAGCAGAGGAAGAAAGATTGATTTCCTTTCCATGCAACTAATGGATTAGGTTGTCTGATCACAGGGAAGGGATGCTTTCATGTTCTGCATGTGTCCTGCATTTGCTTCACCACATACTTTCAAATTTGTTACGTGGAACTGGGCCTTGCGCAACAGATCTGCCTCCAGCTCCTTGATTTAAAAGTCGAGGGAAAAAGGGAAGGGTGTTTGAAAGAGAACTTGCTTTTGGGGTCCTTGGTCAGACTTATGCATAGGCATCGATGTCCTCCAGGATGGGTTTGTGGTTGAGTTGATCTGTCCTCTGCTTTCTTCTTGCACTGAATTTTCAACATGTTTCAGGTTGGCTAGCCTGGGGAACTAGTGTTTTAAATCAATTAAGTGGTGAACAGATTAGATTTCTCAAGGAAAGGGAATAGATGAACAAGAAGCTTCAGTTCTCCTTAGTGCTGGGCTTCCTGCTGGGCTGCTGCATGCCTGGTTGAAGTCAGCAGCAAGAAAGGCACCGCAGCGAGTGAGCATACAGGCAAGCTTTATTGCCTTTATTCCCAACATCAGAGATAGCATCTAAGAGGTGCTTTAGCTCTGACCCCGTGAACTTTCTTTCATGGCTGCTGCCACTTGGTATCTCATGTCAGCCTGTGGCTCAAGGTTGTATTTGCCATGTGAGATGAAGTGTTGTTGAAGCGCAGCAGCGCAGAGAGTTCTCATAATACGATGCTGTTGAGGAATGATCGTTTAGGACCTGCCGAAAGTCATCCAAGAAATGATTTCTTCCCCTGCAGAGGCAGAGGTTGCTGGGCAGGCCAGAAGGGTGGTGGCACTCAAACTCAGCAATGGAAGTCCCAGCAGCATCCTCCACATGCAGTGCTGGGACCTCCTTCTGCTCCTGATGGAGGAGCCATGCAGAGCCCTTTCCCCATCTCAGGGGCAAGGATTTCTTGCCCTAGCAGTGGTTGGAGTCTCCTTTCCAGCTAGGGTGGCTATAACCTATCAGGCAGAAGGCTTCTGATGTGTCAGGGCATCTCCTTGGCTGCCTGAGCTGGATCAGCCGTGCTCCATGTCAGGAGCACACTCAGTAGTCGCCTTCCATGTGCAGCGTGATCCCTCCAGAGGAGTATGGAGCAGTTTCCGCTCCTTGGAGGAGCTGTTTCAGGCTACCTGTGTGATCAGGCCATACCAACTGTAGCAGTTGCTTCTGTTTCATCTTGAAAGCATTCCGGCACTGAAAAGCCTCTGTGAAAGAGGGGAGGGAAACTGAGGTCATGGAGCGCGTGACGTCCGTGACTAGGATCTCTAGAGGAGCCATAATCCACGCCAGGCGACTGAGGTGGGTGCTGGCATCGCTCTTTTCCCCCTGCAGCTACAGATGGTGGGCTGTGCTATGCGTGCTTGCCTCCCAAACACCGTGCTACCAGCAGCCGAGCGCGCTGGAGCGCCTTTCTCTAGGAGCGCAGCCCTCCCTCTGGCTGCCAAGCCCTCGGCAGCCACCATGAGGAGCGATTCGGTCAGACGGCAGGTTTTGCAAACCCGGTCCGATTGGTTTGCGTGTTTACCTCAAGCACGCTCTCGGTTTCCTTTCGAGCTCCGCTTCTCTGAGCGTGTTGGTGCAGGGACTGGCGCGTTGCTACCTGCGTGTGGCGGTGGAAGGGACTGCTACGTGCTCCACCGGTTATAACCGCCACAGCTGGCTTGTGTGACCCTGGGCAGTTGTTGCTTGCTGCTTCAGGGGGACAGCATGCCTCTTGCCCAGTGCTGAAGGAACATCTTTTTTGGTGTTCCTGGACTGCAGCCAAACGTCTGAAGAAGGGAGGAGGTCTCGTGCACAAAGATGGGTTGGAGATGTGTTCGCTCTCTCCTCGGCCTGGGCAATCGGTGCCCACGTGCTCGCCCATACTGGAAGAACCGCTTATGTTGCTGTTACGCTGATATATTCCCCTCAGAGAAGCGGAGCACGTCAGCCTAAGGCGTTTGCTGGTGGCACAGCTACAAAGGCTCCTCTGAAGGCTGGACATAGATGAAGCCAGTGTAGACCTGGCTGTGATGGGCTCTTGGCGGTTTGGGGCTTAGTGTTTCAGGTGATTTGTGGTTCCTTGCTCACTCGGTTGTGCCGATGAAGGGAGTTGGGGGAACCTCCTTCAGGCGAGATTAAGGCCATTCAGGTCCACGTTGCTGGAGGCATGCTGCCTTTTGCTAGGGTAGAGCCAGGTCAGGGGACTCTGGGCAGAGGCAAAAAAAAACCTACCAGGTTTGCAGGAAATGCCTAAACCCACCCTGCGAATATAAGCAATTTTTGGCCTCGGTCGAATGAGGTAACTTGGTTGTAGCTGGAGCTACAGCACTCCAGGACCGCTGCGGATTAGGTTTTAGCTCAGCTGCAGGAAGAGTGTGCAACCATCCTTTTGCCTTCTAGATCTCGCACTGTAGCAACATATTTAATTTCGTGATGGAAAATGAAGCCTGCTTGTTTGGCTTTCCTAATTAAACTTAATTACTTGTTTTAAAGAAAGCTTGCGTGTGTGTTCAAAGCAGAGAAACAAAAAGCAAATATGTAGCACATTAAGATTTTTTTGTTGTTGTTCATCTTGGCTCTAACAGTTAAGAGGGAAAAAAAAAATTAACAGAGTGGCTCCTGCCAGGCACTGAGGAAACTCTGGTTTGCTGTCTCCCAGGTTGGCTGCAGGAGCGCTTACAGACAGCTTTAAAAGTTGACGCACAAAGGCAAAATAATGGATTGGTGCCCATTTCTTCCTATATAAAGACATTTTGGATCTCTTGTTTCTTTGTAGGATTCTTTTTCCTGCTTGTCTGAAAGTTTATAGATACTTAAGGTTTCCGTGATCCACAGTGGGATGGAAAATGAGTTGAACTGTGGCTTCACAAGAGGAAAGAAATTGGAAAAGGAGAATGGCAGCTGATTTGCTTCCAAAGCTGGGAAGGTCGTTGGCCAACGAAGAGCAGGAAGTGCTCTTGCCTTAGCTCTCGAGCCCTTTTTGGAATGATTGATACCACCTTCGAAATGCAGCGCTCTGAATATCTTCTGAAGTTGGCTGGAAGTGCTGCTCTGGGTAATGAAGGTGTGTAGCTTGGTGCGTCCTGATATCTGTCGGCGCTGAGAACCGACAAGACAAATGAGCCCGAGACGTGCAAAGGCTGCATGTTACAGCACCGCTGCCGCCGCTTTTTGCCAGAGGGCACGAAAACCAAGAGAAGTACAAAAAATGACGATGTTAGAAACAGGCTCACCAGGAGAAGTTCCTTGCTGAGTAGACGGTGCTGGCTAGTGGGACTGTGCTGTGCATCTCTTGCTAGGAATCGGGCTGTGATAGAGCAGTGCCACGTTTTGAGACAGGATTTTTTTTTTTCTTTTTTAACGCCATCCCTGAGGCATCTGTTTCTCTCTGGAGCTTGACATCGGGACGTACCCTGGTGGCAAAAGCAGACTGGTTTCACGGTGCTGCTGTGGCAATTACAAATGCAGTCGGAAGGTCCCAGATTTTGACCCCTTCTGCATGACAGCATCATCTGTGGCTGACAGCAGGGACATGCTGCTTGGTCCACATCAAGGCAGATTTATTATTAAAACACACACACACACACACACAGAGAGTTAAATCTGGAACAAGTTTTTAAAAAAAAAAAAAAGGAGAAAGAGAGAGCAGAGAAAAGTGGATATCAAGAATCACACTCCAGGACAGGCAGGTGATAGGTCTTTCAGTGCCAGATTTGGGAATGGCTTTCTTAAATGCTGTTTTGATTCCCCCTGTGATTTCTGTCTGGAACTAATCAGGAATTTTGCATGCTGCTTCTGGCAGTGGATCATTTTTGAAGTTTGTGACTTATCAAACGAGGCTTTTAGGAGAGATCGGTTCTTTTAAAATGAGGGGCACGTGCTTTTCTTGCTACTTCTAATCTTGCCACTTAAAGGGCCATGCTGGGAAGCGAAATCCAATCTGTTGTCCTTCTCAGCCACCTTGGCGGGGAAGGTGCAGTGATTCAATTTTTGCCCCCCCTACGGTCTTAATCCTGCACCCTATCCAAATTTCCCCTTGGGCCTCCAGGCTCCAAACACTGGTTTCAGCCTCATCTGTGCTACGGAAAATCCTTTTGGTGTAGAGAGGAGAGGCGTAGGCTTCCGGACAGAGCTGCGAGATTTTTAAAACCGTCCCCTTCTGTCCTTGACTTTGGTTTTCCCCTCTGGCTGGGAGCGGAGGGATAAGGATGAATGCAAGCCTCAAACCTTGCAAGCTCCTTAAGCTGGTTGTAACTGCTCTGTGTGTGCAGAGGGAAGATGCTGAAAGAAATAGCAGTGGAGGGAGGAGAAGGATATAATTATTCATGTTTCATGACAGACAAGCGTATGGTACAACAGTGCTTCCTCTTGTATAATAATTATGCCCAGCCATGTGTTATGTGTGACGCTAGAATAGTAGCTGTAATTTATTCTGGCTTTTCTCTTTGTCGTGCATTAGCTCCAGTGCTTTATTTTGGAAGGGGGTATCCCGCTCACGTTATAACCGTTCTCATCCAGGAGTGTGGTGTGGTCTGTGGTGATTTGTTTGTCTTCCCTGCTTTCCTCTATTTCCCTCCTGTGTAGCATGATTTATAAAGCTCATCATCTCTGTTATCTGTCCAAGCCCTGTCACCTTATGGTTGCCCAGAGGGTTTTGGGGACACCTGCTTCATCTGGAGTGAAGTAAACGGATGAAATGAAATGAATGTAATGGATGAAAACGTGCTTTCCCTGCATGCAGCCCCCCCATGACTCTTTCTCCAGGAGCGGGAATGGCCTGGACACATTTGCCTGCGGCCCTGCTGTGATGGTCGGGACCTCCCCTGGCTGCAGAGCATCCCCTGATGGGATGCAGAGCACCCCTTGCTGAAGCAACAGCACGGTCCATAAACATGCATTGGTCAAATCATGCACAGGGTTCCCTGCGGGTGCTCTGAACTTTAACGCAGTCTGCTCTCATTTGGGTTTGGCTGGCTGGAGTCATTATCTGGAGGTTTAGCACAAGCTTCACCAGCTAAGCGCAGACTGTTGAAGCTTTCCTGGTTTTGAAGGCTGTGCTAGTGGAGCAACTCTGAGACACGTGCTTAGCTTCATGGGTCACTATATACAGAGAAAACAAAATCAGCGGGTATTTTTGAAACTCTCAAGGCCCAAGGAGTTCAGTCTGGGTTAGGCTGTTTCCTGTAAGGAAAAAATGAGGGAGGAACCATCATTTGGTGCCCGTCTCCACTTTCTCGCCAAGCACGAGGTATGGAGCAGCCTGCAATGCCAGGCTCCTGCCGCTCCAGCACAGCATGAGATGGGACCACAAGCTGTTCACAAATATGCTGTTCAACTGGCTGCTTCTTGAATATGACACCCAGGAAATGCGAAGCGTTTTTCTGCCCTGGCCAAAGATGCGACATAGAGCATTGCAAAGGGTCTGACTCCCTTGGCAACAATATAGGTCTTCCAACTGTGTTTTTGTAAGACCACTATTTTCAACCTTGACTTGGTGTAGGAAGAACTGTGGAAATCATGTGGATAAGTCAGTTGGATGAAAGCGCTTGGGATAGGAAAAACTGGGGAACACTGAATTGGAGGGGTTGTCTGCCGATGCCAGCGTGTTGCATAGCGGATGTTGAATAACGAAAGGGATTTTAAAGTTACCAGAACAATTCAGAGGGCTGGAAATTCTGTCTTTTTAGATTATTAGATGGAGTGGGCTGACTCCTTTGTGATGTGTTGCTTATGCACTCTAACATGGGGGAGGTGCTGGCAACTGCTCCTGAAGTTACCAGTTGCGTTTAAGGTGCTGGGCACAGATTTTGGAAACAGAGGTACGTTAACCACTGCTGTATCTTCCCGAGGGGAACGGATCCCTCAGCACATGATGCCCAAAGAAGATGGACCTGCCAGGATGTAGCAGGTGTTGGTGAGCCGTGAGACACAGACCCCATGATCCCTTTGGTTTTAAGACTGAGCGATGCTTTTTATTTCCAAAATCCTTTGGTGGCAAGGGCAGGATGGAGAATAGCAACCCGTGCCCTTGCAGTTGCACGTGGCGTGAATGAACACTGCAAAAGCAGGGGAAGGTCGGAGCGGTGGTAAATCAGGACCCTAAGGTTGCCTCAGTGGACAACCCTAAGGTTGTTCAGCTCATGTTGGCGGTGGGGCGTAGGGGAATTTTCTTGAAATGAGAGAGTTAGGCCCCAGTGAGTGCTTTCAGCAAGTCTTAGGTATAGCGATCGGTATTTTAATCTGTGCACATCGCAGACCAGGCTTTGAGCAGCTCGCAGAAAAACAGGGAGATGTGAAGCGGAGATGTTTTCCGGCAGCATTAGCTGGCCCTTGCTGTAACAGCTGAAACAAGAGCAGGATGTCGCTTAGGCAGTGAGCGACTTCTGGTGCAGCACTGCGCCGAGCCAGGAACTGCATCTGTATATAAGTCGCGGCGGTACAGAGAGGAAACGGTGCTCTCTGTGCATATGACTTCACCACAACGCCGGCAAATACAGCTGCCAAAATGGTGCCGGCGGCGGCCGGGTTGCGCCCAGGTTGCTCGGAAGAATAGGTGGGGCCGTGCGCGGTGGACCTTGGACCTTGCAGAGCAAAGTCTCATCTCTGCCCGAGTGCGAGAATGGTAAGGCGGCCCTATGGATTTTGTGGTTCAGTGATGGGGAGGAAACAGAAATCCAGCGACGTGTCCTTTTGGGGGCACGTGGGAGGGGGGAGAAGGTGTTGGAAAAACCTCTCACCAGCGCAGCTTGAGAGTGGCTCTCTTGCAAAATCTCCCTCTCCTGTTGTGGATGCAAACGCTTCCTTGATTCTTACTGAGTCAGGCAGCTTGCACCCATGCATAGTGTTTTTTTTTTTTTCCCCCAAGTTGCTAAAAGATAAACTTCTGAGTAAGATAGTTATGGGATAAAGACATATTTTTATAATGCATTAAAAAAAAAAACAACAGAACTGAGTCCAGGAGATGGTTATTTTCAACAGCATTTATAGTAACTGAGCTGAAAACTCCAATGTATCTCTCTCTCTCTGTCTCCTTTTCTTTTCTTCTTTTCTTTTTTTTTTTTTTTCAAAACTGTGAATTATGTGGTGCATGTGACGTTTTGTAAACCATCCCCAAGAGGCTTGCTGCGGCGACTGACTTGCATGTGCTAAATTCATCGTTGGTGCAAGACCAGTGTCTCTGCTGAGTTACGCCCCAGGTGATTTTTTTTTTTTTTAAAGTGTGTTATTTTGTTCAGCCACCGACTATTTTTAGAACCAGTCCGCTCCCGCAAATGAGGAAGTCTAGCAGAAGTTTCTTCCGGACTTCTCGCACTTTCTACTCTCCATGTGGTTGTGGGAGCACTAGAGTAAGTGCTTTGTCTCTATGTGGAGTGAAACGTTTCTCGATCTCAAAATAAAAAGCTTGCAGCATCTGCTGGGCTCTGCGATTTCTAAAGAGGAGGAATTCTGGGCGTGTGAATGGTTTGTCACAAGAAAACAGTTGTGCACGGCTTTTGTTTGTCTTTCTCAACAGCCGTTCAGCTGTCTGATTAGGAAATGCCGGATACCTTCCAGCGAGATAGCTGGGGGAAGTTATTTCTCTTTTTCACAAGTGCTCCACTAACCTATTTCATTCTTACTGAGCAACGTGTTGAGTTTTTTCAGCAGATTGGCAGTTTGTTTTTTTTTTTTTTAAAAAAAATGTGGGCAAATAACCTTCATTTACCGAGCAGCAAAGTCTGAACTGTACCAGAGCCAGGAGTGTTTGTGCCCTGATGCACTGTTGTCTTATTGCAACGACTCCTGTTGTTTTCCAGGGAGGCAAAAATGAAGAAAATGCAGGGGAAATCCTTTATCTCAGTGAAAAGTCCTGCTTTCCTACAATTCAGCATTTAAACTGAGGTTGTAAGCCCAGCTTTTTTTTTTTTTTCCTCCTCCCCTTCCCCACCCCGGCACTGGCGAAAGCTGCATGGGAAACAGGTTTTGCGTTAAAAGCTGCGCAGCAGGTCCTGAGTTTGGCATCCTCTGGTTTTCTGCAGAAGTGTTGCTTGTCTCCAAAGGTGTCGCTTGTTCCTGTGAAGCGCTGGGGAGCTGGCTGCTGCGAGGGATGGACCCCTTTCCTAGCCATGCCTCCGCCACGAAGGAACTGGGCTCTGAGGCCCGGCCTCAGCCTGCCCTTCTGTAAAACGGGAGGAGTGATGCTGCTCCTTTCTCTTGAGCGCTTTACTGATGGGTTGTCACTTCCCCCGGATGGCAGGAGGGGGCTGGCTGGGACGGGAGGTAGTCCAGACCCCCAGATTTGCTGGGGGAAGGATGATGCTGGTCCACTGCTGCTGGATGATGTTGACTCAGTCTTTCTTCCTCTGCTCAAGCACAGCTGGTTTGTCATGGGGGCTGGATCTTTGCAAGGCTGTAACATACTCAGCATCAGTAGGGTATTTTCCCCAGGTGCCGGAGAAAGAAGAAAAGCACGCAGGACCGAGATACCGTGGCAGGGTAAATGACTACACTGCATCTTTGTGGGTGTGCAGGGAGCAAATTGAGGCTGCTCTTGGCTTGACTCTCTGCACACCTGTGCCTGCAGCGCATCTTTTACTATCTGCCCCTGACTCATCCCGGATTTTTGCTCTCTCTAGGCATGCTCTGAAAATGGACCCGAGTAATGCTGAATTGGAGAGGGTCAGCAACAGCTCTGCTGAGAGCCTCAGCCCACCTTTCAGGAGTGTGCATGTCAGCTTCACAGCCAGCTCCACCGACAGCCTCGACTCAGACACGCGAACCGGCAGCGATGGCGGTAAGCAAGCGTTGGGTGCAGGAGAGGCAGCAGTGGGCCTGAGGAAGTGGTTACCCACATCCTGTGTCCTGCCATTAGGGTAGCATCCATGGAGCTGGGACCGCGAGGGTCCCATGAACTACCCCTCCCAGCAACCCTTCATCTGTCTACTTCTTCTGCCCTGCTGCTTCTTAGCATCCTAGAGATGTCCTCAATGGGGCTCTTGGGTGACTGAACACTGGAACAGGTTGCCCAGAGGGACTGGCAGTCTCCATCCTTGGAGACATTCAAAAGCTATCTGGATACGGTCCTGGGCAACTTGCTCTAGGCGACCCTGCTTGGCCGGGGGGGGTTGGACTAGATGATCTCTAAAGGTCCCTTCTAACCTCAACCATTCTGTGATTCTGTGAGATGAATGTGGCAATCAGGCCAGTATCATTGTTTTTTTCAATTGGCCAGTGCCAATACCATTCATCCTGTGTTTCTCTTGTCATTCGGATAAAACATCCACGTGAAAGCAACTGTGCTCATCCGGCACGTGCTTCGTCCTGCACGTGCTTCATATGTTGCACAAGGTAGCAGTTAGCCTTGCCGTAGGAAGTCCTCCACTGACTTGAGGAGCACCGGAGAGAGTCCTGTGCTAGAGGTGATCGCCCCATCTCATTGCATTTGCAGCTGTTTCTTGAAAGGCAAAAATCTGCCTTCGCTCCTTTAACTGAGATTTAAAAATATTTATTATGAAGTCACCTCTTTCATAAGTGTGTAATGTAGACATGTACTAACATGTTCAGCAGCTCAGCAAGTATTTCCTTTGCAAAAGCAACCTCTGTGCAGTGGAAGTTCTATCCAAGAGCAACAATTTGCAGCAATAAAAATAAGAGCAAGAGCTCTGGAAACTCCATTTTTCCACTGCTAACTTGGAGTTTGAGAGTAAGACTGTGCCAGAAAATTGTACAGGGTAGACGAAAAACTCGCATGTTTTCGGTCTTTACTTACTGGGCATGGGAGCAGATTGCTGTCAAAAATATTATTGGATAAGAGGTTTTCTCTGCCGCCAACTGACAAACTCTGGAAAGCCAAATTTTGAAACAAATAACCCACATGCGATTTTTCTTGCTGATGCAAGCAAGACACTATGCAGTCAGTCACCAAGTGAGCTTAGCTCAAATTAACTGGCTCTGCTATTGGGATAGCTGGGAAAGGGCTTCATTCGGTATGTTGGGGCAGGGCCCAGCAGCATGTGAAAAAGAGATAAGAGCTGTTTGGCCTTTATGGGCTAAGCTGTTGGGTGCCAGAGCTTACAGTGCTGACATTTATTCCGTGAGCATTCTCTCAGGTAAATCTGCCCCGCAAAATGGGGGCTCGACTGCATGTCCTGGCAGAGTCGCCTCTGTTGAGTTGCTCTTGCTGAAGGATTTCTCTTGGCTGCATCCTCTGGCAAAGCCCCTCGGACTAGAAGTTGCAAGAGATGCTGTGCCGAACTATTCCTGCTTGGGGATTTTGCCAGTGTTTCAGTGGGGGCATATGGCACGGAGGGGATCTTTCCTGTAGACCAGGTAAGGTAAAAAAAAAATTGGGTTTTTGATAAAGCTTGGGGCATGCATCTTCACTGAGCCCTGAGCTCTGCAGTTAACTGTGCGGCTGTAGAGCAGTGGATTGCTGGGTGTACGAGGCAACTCAGTACACGTGACTGGGTGTACAAGGCAGGCAGACATCCTTTCATGTTTCTCAGCATGTTGTGAAAGATGGGGTGCTGAAACTGCCTCGTGTGGGAAGTTTAACTACCATGGAAGCTGAAATCAGTGCTGCTCATTCCGGTGCCCCGGGGTATTTCTCAGCGCTGTCACTCGGGATGTGGTGGATTATAGCAGGAGCATCCAGGAAGTCTTGGCAATGAAAGTGACATGTGAAAGTAGATGTTATTCTACCAAGCCCTGGTGGGGAGGAACAGGGATAGATCACTTGGGTCCAGCAGATCTGCACCCACCTTGTGCTGTCTCAGCTAGCAAGCCGCTACCAGCTAAGGCTGTTCTGGCCCAGCTGTACCGCCAGCGTGGGTTGGAGGCTCATGGAGCCAAGCCGCTGCCTTGGAGGTGGTGGGGGAGAGGTGGGGAGTCACTGGGCTTGTGACTCAGACAAGCATCTGCTGTGGACTGGTCTGAAACCACCCGGGGCTTTCCCACGGGCAAGCAAACAGCTATTGCGAGGGTGCGCCCATTGTCGGCTGAACCCACATCGGCAGCCTTGTAAGGGGAAAGGATCTTCTGTTTGTTCCATGGCTTGCTACCATGCTGAACGCGTCAGCTTTGGGAGCGGCGTTCAAAGAGAGCAAAAGATCCTGCTGCCAGCTCAGCTTGCTTGGAGCAAAACCCCATCGTGCAGCTTCCAAGGCTTGAACTGGTGTGCAGCCATTAGCAGAGCTCAAATTTATTGAAAGCCCCATCTGTCGTTCAAGTGATGTAGAATATTCTCTGAAATAATTCTGTCTATTCTTTAATTTCCCCTGCAGACCCCTCTGCTCCACATTTGTTATATCTCCACGACCTGAAATTATTGCTCTTTATTGCAATGTCAAATCGCCTTTTTTCCTTCCCCACCCACCCCTTCCATGACATGCAATGGGCTTTACCCATCTCTAGTCTGGCCAAGGTAGGACAACAGCTGCTACAGAGGCCTGGAAGGAGCCACGCACCCAAATCCATGTGCTAGTGACATGCTGGGCTGCTTGAGGCTCAGCTACCTGGCAGGGCCAGGCTGTCCTCTGAGCAAAGAAGTCGGAGAATTCCCCTGGGGGAAGCCAGACTGGGAGGGGAAACTGGCTAAATCCCTGGCCTTCCTCTGGGATTTGAACCTTGCCCAGCTGGAGGCAAAAAACCCAAGTTTGATATCCTCCTTGGGCTGCTCTGGTCACACTTAAGGCAGAGCTGCATGCAACGTGAGTCGCGCTCACCTTATCGTGCCATGCCACTGAAACGCTGGGTAGCAGCTCCCAGCTGCATTGGGCTTTGTTTCAGTGTTTGCTGTTGAACGAGTATCCCCGAGTGCTTCGTTCTTACCTCCCCGTGGATGATGTCATGGCTTAAATATTCACGCTCTCCTGGCTTTTTACTGGACTTTTTACTACTGTGTATGCAGTTCATAGGCAGGGGTTTGGGGAGGGGGGTTTCTGTAGGCAGCTGCTGTAACCTGCCTTGAAGACCTGCTGTATTACATTGAATTAAACACCTAACCCTTTCAGTGCGGCTTTGCAGTACTTAACTGATGAGGCTCACGCTTTGGGTTTGGGTGTAATCTCCTTTGCTTCTTGCTCTCTGGATGAGACAAGCCTAAGGGCTTTGCTCCATGGGGCCTGGTGGAGACAGCTTGTGGGGTCAACAGGGGAGGCAGTGAGGGGCTGGTGCCCACAGCTGGTGAGGACCATCCGTTTCCCTGGTCATTGCCCATTTCTGTGTGTGTGTGTGTGTGTGTTGTTGTCTCCTAGGGCACTCATCGGAGCCGAACCACTCCCCTGCTGCAGCTGAGAGCCAAGCGTTTCCCCCTGTCCCTTTTGCTGCTGACTCCTGTGAGGACGGTCCTCCCTCTGCCCCCTGCCACCCGCCCCCTCTGCCCCAGAAGAAGACAGTGAGCAGAGCTGTATCCTCCCCGGATGGCTTTTTCTGGGGACCGGCCTCTTCGGGCAGAGCAGCCAGCACCGCCAGCCCCAGGCTGAACGTGAGCCACTCTGACAGCAATGTCTGCCTCCGCGAGGAGTCTCCCTTTGGCTCCCCGGCATGCCTGGGGGGTCCCCCTGGTGCCTTCTCCTCCTCTGAGTCCTTGGAGAAAGGCTTGAAAGGAAACGGCTCCTGGGGCTCGGCTGCTAGGAAAAGAACCGGGGCCTGCATCCCCAGCAGAAACCACCAGGCCCTTTCCTCCTCGCAGCTCAGTGTGTCCAGCCAGCTGTCTTCGGGCTCCAGCCTTCAGCTCCACAACCTCCTCAGCAACATCGACAGCAAGGAGGGGGTGTACGCTAAGCTGGGGGCTCTCTACGCCGAGTCTGTGCGCCGCCTGGTCACCAAGTGCGAGGACTGCTTCATGCGGGAGCAGAAGAACGAGCTGCACTTCAATGAGAAGAACTGGTCACTCTTCAAGCTGACGTGCAACAAGCCCTGCTGCGATTCAGGGGACGCCATATATTACTGTGCCACCTGCTCCAAGGACCCCTCCACCACCTATGCTGTGAAGGTAAGTCTGTGCCCAGGGGGTGCCTGGCCTTATCTCCATCTGTAGCTGAGGATGAGGCAAAGAGCTACAGGGTCCAAGCCATGCTGGGGGTCCGTAGCAGAGCTGGGATTGAACCTCCAAGCTCCTTTTCCCTGCCTCTAGCATATGGAGGGGAGTGACAAAGTAGCAGTACAGCCGTGGGAAGCACCGTCAGCATTGGAGGGGTGGTTTTCTTGGTGCTTATCCTTCTCATAATTGAAACTGGGAAAGTGAAACCCCGGCTAAAATTACCATTCTTCCTCCACCCCTTGCAAAAAATCAATTTGGAGAAGTAGTTTTCATTGTAACAAATGTCAGTCAAATACTTATGGCTGCAGGACAGTAGGGTCTGCAACCCAACCATTTTCTCTAAAAATCTTTGTTCTCTAGAGAAATATTACATTGTAAACTTGGAGGCTTTCACCTCCGACAACATAAGCTGATTAAAAGCTATTCAGGAGGCAGGCTGTTTCCTTCTGTGTGCCTTTTAAGTGGAAGGTCTGGCCCAGAAGCCATGTGAGTGCTTCTATGATCTTGAGAGTATATGCCTTAAGATATGGCAGATCTCAGTTAAACAATGTAAGGCTGGCTTAGAGGTGCTGTGTAAGGTCAGGTCTGAAATATTTTCCCGTAACTGTACAAAATCCGTGTTTGAAATGGAAATTTTTGATGCACAAATGCGGCTCTCTTAAACCTAGAGAAGTACCCTTATGCATCCCATTTCATGCAAATCTCATGAATTTGGCGATCTTGATCTAGGTTACTGCGTGAACACAGAGCCTCTAATTTCTGCTTTGACTTAACCCCAGGGGCACCTCATTGTTGCTGATTCCTCCGGTTATTTTCAAAACCTAAAATAATTGCCAAAAGAGCACTGCCAGAGATGCGCTAAGCAGGAATAAAAAGCCCCGCTGATTTGATTCTACCAGTGCAAACCCCAAGGGGATGTTTTAGTTAAATGATAACTTTAAAGCCAGTTGATTCTCTAAAGAAAGCGCAGCCAAACCGACAGGGGAGCTCTAAATAGCCAGAGCAGTTAGGTGAGGCCTTTCCCCAATACCTGTAGCCCAGCAGTCAGAGCAGCAACTTTTTTTGGTGTATTGGCCCTAAATCCACTGAAAGCTTCCTTCTAAAAGCCGAGAACTGTGGTGTAAATGGGTGCACTCCTTTGCATCGTGTGCTTCCTTACAGCGCGCACAGACCTTTCCTCTTGCCTGCAGCGTTCAATGAGGTTCAGAAGCTCAGCTCTAATGGTCGAACAGATGAGTTATCATCAAGGCAGAAATAGCCCTATTTTTTGTCTAATGGGACTGGGACTGTGTGCTGCTTCTTTGCTCCTGGTGCGCTGTGGAGTACCACAACACAGCCCAAACAGTCCTCTGCCAGGACTGTGCTGTGCACCAGCATTAAGTGAAGCTGTGCGTTGTGTTTATATGCATGCACACATCTCCTGCAAGGTTCTAGTGTGCCTCCCTTTTTGTAGCTGAAATAGAGAACAGTTGGGAAACTTTACTGCTGGCTGATTTCTAGATGCCCTTCCTGGCTTCTTGCTCTGACAGGAAAGAGATCACAGACCTGGAGTTAAAATAAGACTTTGAGAGCTCAAAAAGGGCAGAGGATTTGACTTGAGCTGAGGGACCTGCTGAGCAGTGGGAGCCAGAGCTTGGGCTGCATGCAGGCAGACACAAACATACACATAAAACGGCTCGAAAGAGGCAGGGTAATGTGAAACGGCTGGAGGAAGTGATCCACGATATGCTCCATGTCTCAGCTTCTCTCTCCATCCGAGATGCACCAGGCGCCTACTTGGAGCTTGCCGTGTGGTGGACACCTCAGCTGTGGCCAAAGTCACGAAGGCTATCTGGCCAGGAAAGTTCCCCCTCTGCCAACTCCGTTCCAGGACTCCTCTTTCCCAGGAGTATTTTCTCTTCTGCAGCCATACATCTCCTCCCTTTGCAGGGAGGAAAGAGCCAGCTTGTTCAGTAGAGGGCTGGAAGGCTGCTTCTGCCTTCAGGGACCTTCCGCGGCTTGCTGCAGCCAACTGCACTAATCTGCAGTCTGTCTAACTCCCTGGAAATTATCTTTCCGCAAAATAAACACGCAGCCAGCTGCAGCAGGGCATTTTTGTTTAGCAAAAAGAGGACAATGGGGATTTGAAATGCCCCATCGCCACACTACCGTCTCATCTGAGCAAATCACCTGCAGATGCCTCGATTCAAACCCCTGCTAGAGGAATACAAAAGCGGCCCATTTCTCCAGTTCCAGCACTATTCTTGTATTCATTTTAACTCGGAAGCAAAATTGATTTCTCGTCCGATTTTGCACGCATGCCAGTGGCGTGCTCCAGGGTTTGAATCCTTTTATGCTGAGTTTCAGCCCATTGCTAGTTCCTGTGAGTGAGATAGAAATACTTCTCTAAATTATAAAAAAAAAAAAAAAGGCATATAATAGGAATGCCAGAAGGTCTGCAAGTTAATGGATACCTCTATAATAAACTTGGGTTTAGGTTTGTTCGATCTTCAATGCAGTCATAATGCTAAAACACAGAACAAAATGAAGATAAAGTCATGTGGGTTTAAGAGAAACTAGACTGTAAAATGCTTTTCATTTTCCCTTGAGTTTGCTGGACTCTCATGTATTTCTAAGCCCATTGTTAACTCTCACTTTCTCCCTAGTGTTTTCTTCACTGTGCTAAATTGAGTACAGTTTGTGGCGGGCTTTCCTTAGCCATTGATCAGGGCTTTGAGAGTAATTGCTGACACAAGGAAAAGGAGTGGTTATAAAGGATATGAAAGTGGTTCCAGGACTTGGGATCAGAGAAGGGTTTAGTTGGGAAGGGGGCTCTGCAGATCTCTGTCCACCTCCTGCTCCAAGTACGGCCACCCTGACAGCCAGGTCAGGTCACTCGGGGCCTTGTCCAGGCAAGTATTGACCATCTCCAGGGATGCAGGTAGCACATCTTTAGCCACAGCCTTTGCTCTTCCCTCTGCAAAGCATCTCCTGGCTGGGGGGATCTGACTGACATCTGCAATGTTTTCAAAAGCTGCATCACTTCAGCTGGTGATGAAACAAAATCTCCAGAAGCCACTCATGGGCGGTGTATCTTCCTCCCTTCATGTGAATACTGGGAATTATCTGGTAAAGGGAGCTTGCCCAGAAATGGGGCCTAGACATCTAGTCGTTCATGTTGGGATGTTGCAGAGTGGGAAAGATCCTCAGGCTGAAAGACAGTTTAAAGCACAAAGGGGACAAAAGTGCATCCTGCTTGTACTGGCATCTTCCTTAGCACCTGCAAATGGGAAGCCACCCCTGAACTGCTGATCTCTGCTCTGTCTCTGTCACTGACTGGCTCTGCTTTGCTTTTGGTCTCTCTTTGCAGATCTGTAAAACTCAAGAGTCAAAGATGGCTGCTTCGTACTGCAGCCCCACGGTGCCAGTCCACTTCAACATCCAGCAGGACTGTGGACATTTTGTGGCCTCTGTCCCCTCCAGCACGCTGCTGGCCTCGGATGTAGGGAAAAGCGTTCCTGGGGATGGCCTTCGTCCCTCCCGCTCTGCCAGTGAGCACAACTGCGTGGTGGTCATCACCCGGGAGGTGCCGAGCCAGACCACTGCTGACTTTGTGAGGGACTCGGTGGCATTGCACCAAGCCAAGCCTGAGCTGTACGAACGCCGCGTTTGCTTCTTGCTCCTCCAGCTCTGCAATGGCCTGGAGCATCTCAAAGAGCACGGCATCATCCATCGTGACCTGTGCCTGGAGAACCTCCTACTTGTCCCCTGCAAGCCCCCCATGAGCTGTGTGAAAGCCAAAGATGACAAACACTTACCCCGCCTCATCATCAGCAATTTTTTGAAAGCCAAACAGAAGCCAGGAGCCGGAGACTCCAAACTGAAGAAGAGCCAGGCCCGGCTGGCCCCGGAGATTGTGTCGGCTTCTCAGTACAAGAAGTTTGATGAGTTTCAGACTGGCATTCTTATTTACGAGCTGCTGCACCAGCCCAACCCCTTTGAGGAGAAGGTGCACCTCAGGGAGCAGGAGTACAGCCCCGAGGACCTCCCTGCTCTGCCCAGCCTGTCCATCTACTCCCGGGGGCTCCAGCAATTGGCCCACCTGCTGCTGGAAGCGGATCCCATAAAGCGCGTGCGGATCACCGAGGCCAAGCGGATGCTGCAGTGTCTGCTCTGGGGGCCCCGGAAGGACCTCACTGAGCAGCCCCTCAACCATGAGGAGGCCCTCTGCCAGGCACTGCAGAACTGGGTCGACATGAAGCGTGCCCTGCTGATGATGAAGTTTGCTGAGAGGGCCGTGGACACGGAGCGGAGCATCGAACTGGAGGACTGGCTGTGCTGCCAGTATTTAGCATCCACCGAGCCTGCCTCTCTCTTGCACACGCTAAAACTCCTGCAGCTGCTCTGACCTCAGGGGCTCCTGATTTCCTCGCGGCTAAAGGTACAGAGCCCTTTGTACGTGAAAGGCATGAATGTCAGCTGTGAATGTGCATTTAGCTCCTGCCCTGCACTCCGATCCACATCAGACGTGTTTACTACCTTAAGGACTGTCCGTTGTGAGCAGGTGAAACTGGGAACCTACCCCATTTGGGGGGAATTTATTTTTTTCTTTTGGTATGGTAAGTCTGTGGACTAATAAACTCCTGCCTCTGTGTGTGTGTGTTTCCAGTGAGCACAATATAGTTGAGATGATTTCTGCGCCTTTGTTTCCTGCTCACCCCAAAAACATCAGCATCTCTTTACCTGAAAGCAAGGTCCGCTCGCCAGCACCAGGGTGAGCAGAGTTTGTCCCAGTTCTCCTGGGGAACAAGAGCAACTCATGTAATGCTCCTTTGCAAGGGAGGACAGGAAGGGGCTTTCACCGTTCACATGTCTTTGCTTTTGGCATCCATTTTGTGTCTTGCTTTAGAAACAAAACCCCCTCCTTGTTCCTGTGTATAACCTGTCCTTTCTGCTGTGGCTAGCTCAATATCCTCTACCCTGCTGGCTTTCTCCTGTCCTGTTGCTTGCTCTGGATGCTAATACGGCATCACCATCCTGTGTAGTGTTGCAGCCCTGCGGGCTGTTGATCGTGAAAGGGAGAGAGAGGCCTGGGATGAGGCCGTTCACAGGGGTGGTGCTGCGAGCTGGGAATTACCCCTTGTAAAGTTAATGAAATGGAAAATCCCCAATTCACCTCCAAGGCTCTGGGGAGAAAGTCGGGGACAGATTGCTTGGCTTTCTCCTCCCTCCTGCTTCTTCCCTTCACCTGGTAATTCACCTGTCTTTTGTTTCTAGCATTTAACCTCTTTACTGAGAGGTTAGCTGGCATGTGGGAGGTCAGGGCCATTGGCCTCTGGTCTGGGAGGCCCTTATTGCTGCTGGTGTTTGAATTAGAAACGCAAAGGGCTGGGTGCTGTGCAGATGTGCTCTTCCAACAGACGGGAGGTGATGGCAGCATGCTGGAAGAGGGAGAAGCAGCCGGCCTCCCTCCATCTAGATGTATGGGAGCTGCCTGGCTTAGCAGAGCTGCTGCTCAGAAAAGCTGATTTTTCAGAAGAGGGCAGCTTTTGCCCTCTTCCACCCCAGCATGAGGCAGAGCAGCACTGTCCTGCTCCTGGGCTCAATTATGCTGCCTGCAGAAAAGGGGCAGGACTGGGGCACCTTGAGAGAGCCCAGCAGCAGGCAGCTTCATGCAGGGAGACTGTCAGTAGCTCAGCTACCTGCTTCCAGCTCAAAATAGGGAGAAATTCATGAGTACTCTCCTCCAGCCTTGATTCACCTCCAGAACCAGCGTGATTTCTTGGAGGAATTTTCAATCCCTAGGTTTTTTGACACTTTGTATGAATCTTTTCCAGGCTTCTCACCTGGATCTTTATCTGTTTGGCTGCGACTGCTGCTGATTGGGAGGGAATGGTTCCTTGACTGGGCGTTCATTTGTGATGGATTTCCCCCTGATTCCCGTAGGGAGGAAGCCTTGCACGTCCCTGCCTGCTGAAAGAATGCAGGATGGCTCCAACTGTGGTTGGCAGGGATTTTTTTTATACGCTAGCTTTCTCACATCTGACTCTTGTGTCTGCTCCTCTCCAACATAGGCATGACTCAGGAGCCTTCTGGCTCATCAGTACTGCTCTTGACCATCCTGGACACGTTGCTTTTGAACGCCTGGCCCTGGCCTGCTGCATGTGGTCTCACATGGACTGTGGGAGTGATTAAACAGCTGGAAAACCTGCCTAAAGGAGTCCAGAATGTTTTGTGTAGATAAGATGGAGAAATAAGCATGGATGTAGGGAACAAGATTGAGGCAGTTCTGCAGGACAGCACCAAAGGTTGCAGAGAGAGATGGGGCTATGACAAATACAAACTTAATGCCAACTGTGCTGGCCACAGAGAGATAGTTTATTTGGGGCAAGTGGCTTGCAAAGCTTGGGCTGGGCACGCAGCAGGACCTAAGGAGTGGCCAAACGTCCAGCTAGCCTGCATAAATAACACATGTGCAGATCCATTTTGCATGCTAAGTTTCAGCTTAGTGACAGCCACTGGCCCTGATGCAGGTATTGTCCCAGGGCCTGCACTGTGTGGGATGTTAACCTGATCATATCACTTTCCCTTGATTTTGGGCATTTGAAACTGGATCTGGTGTTGGTCTTGGCACCCTGCAGCAGCATGACCCATAGAGCTGGCAATAATGTTTTAGCATTTTCTGCTATATTATATTGAGACTTGGTGGGTGACTTCTTCTCTCATATAAACAGAAATTCTTAGCTCCATGCTTCCCGTTACCTTCTGCTGTGGCATCCCATGTCTCCTCTCCAACCCAAATAGTCCTGGGCTTTTGGGTCCCAGGCCTGTGCTTGAACTGGAGAAGGGCACTAGGGGTTTCTCTGAGCCACTGTTGTGGGGGAAGAGACCCTGAGACTTGGCTCAATGCCATAACCAAGCTTGAGGACTCTGATGGCGCCCTTTTTCTTTGTCCATGTCCTCAGCATGCTCGGGCAAGCTGGGCCCTCCCAAGGCAGTAGCCCTGCTGTGCCAAGCTGGTGTTCTTGTCCTCCTTGGCCAGGATCCTCTGTAAGGATGGTGGAGGGGAGAGAGCATCCCTGTCCCCAGTAAAGCAGAGGGGCACAGCTAACCTGTGCCCTGGGGACCAAGCAGGTCACCCACTCTGGGGGACTGTAGGAGAGATCTAACTGGGCCCATAGCTCAGGGTCCACATGCTGCAGGGAAGGGGCCAAGGGGCAATTGCTGGCTGAGCATCACAGACCTGTCCACCTCTGTGGTACTGCTCAGTGCAAAAGGGGCCGCTTCTTGTCTTGTGCTGCCCCCAGACAGACTGCCAGCCCCTTTCCCTGTGCCTAGGCTCCCGGTGGCCTTTGTGTGCAAGAAAGCTGGCAGGTCATGGCTCCCTGCGCCCACCTGCCATCCCCATGGAGGGCAGGTCCCCAGGAGCTGGACACAGTTCTTGACTGGTGCGTTTAGGGCACAGATGAGTTTGGTGGGAGGGGGATGTTGCAAGCTTTCTTACCTGGCATGAGGCTGAGACCCAAAGTCCCAAGACAAACACAGGATAGTCAGTGCTGTTGGGAGCTCTTCTGCTCAGTGGTCCCATGACCTCTCCTGCCCTGCTTCAGAGCATCCCTTGAAGTTGGGGAAAATCACAGGAGCGAAAGCCACCCCAGTTCTCCTGTTTCCTCTCTGTCTGTGAGCTGCTGTTATATGAGGCTGCTTGACAGATACCCCTCTTGCCTTGTGTGCTCATGTGTGTGGGGACACTCCTCAGTTGGCAGCACAAGGTAGCTGAGGATGTGGTCAATTCTGCTTCGGTTTCTTGGTGAGCAGCAGCAGCAGTGCGAGGCTGTAAGAGAGGGGAAGGATGCTGTTGTAGGAAGTCCAGAGCAGGCGGAGTTCAGAGAAGCTCTCGGTCTCCACAGCCACCAGGATGTAGGCGATGATGAGCTGGGTGAAGAGCCAGGTTGCACCATGGTAGAGGAACTTTGCACCATGGGAGGCAGCCCGGGCACGGAGGAAGGGATGGATGCGGTAGTCGGCCTTCACCATAATGGCCCAGCATAGGAAACCAAAGACCTGCCCAGGCTGGAGGCCATGCCACCAGGCAGAGAAGGCAAAGGTGGCGAGGAGTGGCTGGGCTGGGCAACGCTGGAAGATGAGTCTCCTCAGCCAGCGGGATGTGCTCTTGTTCCAGGTTCGGGCAAAGACAGCCACGCGGTTGGTGGTCTCCAGAATCCACAGGTCACTGCCTGAAAGGTCACCCTGGCCTGCCTCCGGCCCGAAGCCTGCTGCCTCGAGGAGGGCCTCATCTAGCACCCAGTGCGAATAGTAGGCCAGCTTGAAGATCAGGGCTTGTGTCCACATGCTACACACACAGCTGAGGCCAGTGCAGCCCTGCATGGTGGCCAACTGACCCTCTAGCCCTGCATGCAGCACCTGCAGAGCCAGTGCACAGAGGCATCTCTGGCCAGCAGCTCCCAACGGATGGTAGGAAGTGCCCGAGAACTCAATCTGGGCCTGAAACCTCCTGAAGGAGCACAGGGGACCTCCTAGGAGGGCTGGAAAAAAGAGCAAGTAGCTACAGAGAGGCAATGCTCGCTGCAAAAGCCCCTGGCTGGGCTGGAGTGTCACAGTCCCTTCATGAACATCCAGAGCCAGAGATGTAGCCTTCTGGGTCAGCAGCATGATGGCAGAGAGGACAACAGCTGACCTGGATGGAAAGCACCGCGGAGCTGCTGTGAGTCTTTTGAAGGGAGCATTAGAGGCGCAGCAGCAATGCTGTATGTGGAGGATGTGCTTCCCACATCCTCAGCATGCACAGGGGACATGGTGAGGGGAGGCCAGCTGCTGGGGAACAGCAAGCTCGCTTGGCTCAGGGGCTCTCTGCCCTTCTGAAATGCCCAGCAGGGTTCCAAGCTCTCCGAGGGGAACAGGAGGGAGGCAGAGTTGGGGGGGTTACCTGGTGTCCTGTGGGTCGAGCTCTTGGATCCTCAGGCCCAGATGGCAGAGAGTCTGCCAGGACATCTGGAGGCTGAAGACCCAGGTGTGGACACGTGCTGGGCTGGCGGAGAGGAGGATGAGCACGGAGCCAGCCACGGGGATGAGGAGCAGCATGGCGAAGCTGCCCATGGCTGTGCTGGCAAGGAGGCATCCTCCACCAAGCAGGGAGAGGTACCTGGAAGGGAAGGAATGCCCTTTGACTGGCTTTTAGGAGAAAAGAGGCTTGACACTCCTGCTCCAGTGTTGACAGTGGGGCTCAACCCAGGTCCAACAGCCCTGTAGCCTCCCATAGGGCCTAGAGGCCACTGAGGCCACTGGGGCCATCATGGCTGTAAGTGGTAATGGGGTGAACCAGGACCAGTGTTGCTGGCCCTGGCCCTTGCCCCCCATCCTAGCCATGCCCAAAGCAGTCTCCATTCTCTGCCTTGCTCCCTCGCCCATGCGCCCATCTTGATACACCACTAAACCCCCTCTCTGACGACACAGAAGCGTTGGACAAGGCTGTTTTGGCCTTAACTACCCCAAACTGGCCCCACCATACAGAAGGGATGAGGACCAGCCCACATTTGAGACATTACAAATGCCCCATCCATGTCAATCAGGACTCGACATGCTACACCTCTGGCCAGGAGAGCCACTGAAAGCCATCAGCGGTCAGCTCAGCCGCAGGGGCAATGACCACAT